TGAAGCTTTAGTTTCATTAGAGCGGTAAGTGTTCTCTTCAATATTTTAAATATTTTAAATAAAAGTCCTATCGTATTGTAGTTAATTTGTTGTGTTGTCAAATCAAATTCCGCTGTGTGAGATCATTGGTATGGGTATTCATTAAAACAGCGGTTTCCAAATATGTTTCAGAAGATAAAAAACAAAAAGAAGAAAAACATAGTAACAAGTAGAGGCATGGAACTGATTATGGTAAATTCGAATGTTCTTTTAATATTTGGCATTTTAATTATTTTGATATACGTCTTTTAGAACCGGAAGATGTTGAGACCTGCCTTCAAGCCCTCAAATTCGACAATTTAACATCGGACCCACTTGATGCGACTTGGAAAACCTGTTGCAAATTCGTCTACACGTTATCAAGTCTAAGGATACAGCTAATATAATGAAGAAATGTTATTTTTATAGAAATCCCTCAGGATATCGACTGGTAAATTAATTTTCTTATTATAATTTACTCTAAAATTAATAATAACATTACTATTCTCTTCGTCGATTCGATTTTTTTAATTTTTAATTTGTATATGCTATATCGAGTTTAATAAATTATTATTAGTTTATTGCACTTGTTTTTTATTAATAATCCCTAATGGAAAAATTTACTGTGCTCGCAAGTAAGTCGGCACTATTAGTAGTTTTGTTACCTTTGTAGCTAAGGGCTTGTTCAAATGGAAATCTATTTATAGTAGAATTATTTTAGGTAGTTGGCTGGGAAATGACTATCAATGACATTTCATATCAATGACAGCGATCTTCATCATCGATTATACGGTGTAACAAGAGTTACTAATAGTGTCGACTTTTAAATGTATAACTAAATAGGTTATGAAATTATTTTATGGTATTAATGATAACGGTTCATTAATACAATTAAATAAATTTCATTGTATTAACGATACGGTTCATTAATATAAGGATTTAGGTACATTATATTAATGAAATCTGTTCATTGTACCAATGAATGTGTTCTTCAAATTAATGAATACTGTTCATTGATTTAATGAACTTAAAGTTCATAGAGTTAATGAATTACTTTTCATTGTGCCAATGAAATCGTTCATCGGCTCAAAATTAATGATTTAATTCATTATATTATTGAACTTTTTCATTATATTTATGTCGACTTTAGGTTCAGTGTGTAGACGGTAAGAGGAAACTGGGTGGACAACTCAAAAGGTACAAGGATATTTTCCACGAAAACTTAAAGGGGATAAGAATACAGAGTCAGTTGGAAGAAGCAGCGCGCAATGGAACGCAATGGAGAGAAATTGTAAACTCAGTTAACAACGACAGCCAAAAAGTAAAGAGGCAACAATAAAGTAACGAGATTTTTGAATGTCCGGAGTGCGGAAGAGAGATAACATCACGTATCGGGCTTATCAGTCACAGGAAAGCTCATGAAAAAAAATGCTTGTGTCAAATACTCGTCAGCGAGTAATGGCGTAGTAAGTAAATATTATATTATAATAAAAAAATATTTCAATATAACGTTCTTTCACAGTTGACGTAAACGCACTGCATATTTCTGTAGCACCTTGTACATCTCTAAACCGATTATTATTACATAGAATGAATAGCGTATCCGGATCTCGTAGTCAGTGGCAAGGAAAATATGAAGCCAGTCCATGAATATGCTCAGTTTAAAGCGCTGTTTCTGAATAATAATGTAAATAGCATTAAAAAGGCGCGTTTCGATTAAGATCCCCCTGCGATTAGCAGTAAATTGTTCTCATTATGGCAATTTTGTATTTTTAAACCGACGCATACATTACCTGTTCAGTGAACGCGTTCGAAAAGATAAACGAACACGCTCGTTTGCCGGAAATTCTTTTTAAAACGTTTTCTCTTTGTTTACCGAGTCGCGGCCAACTCTGATGGAGTCCAATTGAATTGAAAATTGTTTTATTTTATGACGATTTATAACAAAAATGAAATCAAATCTGCGTTTTTATTTCATTTTATGTCAAATTTAAAAATTCATCATTTATCACTTTTTTTCTAAAAAGACTTAAATATTTTTCGAATAAAGATTTTAGTACAGTATCCACTTCTTAGTCTAATTTTAGCAAACAGACAGCTAACTCCCATACAGCCATTTCCTACTACGTACGTAGGGGAGGTCGGGGCATGATGACGAACGGGGCAAGATGACGAAGTACTGATTTAAAGAAAACTGTACATCCTAAAAATCCCATTTATTTTTCTATAAATTCCTTTAGGTGTATAATACGTCGGGTTACACATAGATGGAGCTATAGGTTTTGCATCGGGTTTAAAAAATCATAACCGCTTTTCACACCTGTTAGATGTAAACATCCAGTTCCAGAAAATAAGCAATTTCGCAGGTTTAAAGAAAAATAGAAGCCCCTTTCATAGTTAATCTTGATTATTGTGGACATTTTAAATATTAGAAGGTAAGATACAACCTAATTTCACTTAATTAATAATTTAATTTTTGCTGTTTTCTAAAAAATGTTTCCTGGGGCAAGTTGACGGAGGCAAGATGACGAATTCGTCAACTTGCCCCACTGTGTATAAAATTAGTTAAATTCATTTTTTGATGTTTTTAGATGGTAAGAACTTATAAACACCGTACAGATAGACGCTCTTGGTCAGAAGACGTGCTTATTGCCGCGTTGCACTCTATTTTGCACGACCATAAGTCAGTTAATGCTGCCAGTATTGAGCATGGAATCCCGGAAGCAACATTAAGACGTTATATAAAAAAGCAAAATAACAACGAACCAATTCCTCTTAGTGGTGGGAGATTCAGAAGAACGTTTTCTGATGCTCAGGAAGCTCAGTTTGTGACCTACCTAACTGACCTGAGTATTAGAGCATTTGGAATTACATCAGTACAATTTAGAAAACTAGCCTACGAATTCGCTGAACTTAACAACATAAACCATCAGTTCTGCAAAACCACAAAATTGGCAGGCACGGACTGGCTTAAGTCGTTCATGAGTAGACATAGGATAAGTCTTAGGACCCCAGAGTCGACTTCGCTGGGACGATTATTCGGATTTAATAAAGTTGAAGTAACTAGATTTTTTGAGTTACTTAGAGAAACTAGATTAAAATACAATTTTACTGCTGACCGCATTTATAATGCAGATGAATCGGGATTATCAACGGTTCCCAATAAAAAGCCAAAGATTTTATCGCCCACTGGTTCTAGGAGAGTATCAAAAGTTGCTAGTGGTGAGCGTGGAAAAAACACCACCGTTGTATGTGCCATGAACGCCCAAGGGAGCTACGTTCCACCCTTTTTTATTTTTGGAAGAGTTAGGATGCGACCAGATCTTTTAAATGGATGTCCTCCAAACTCTGCTGGTATAGCTCAACCCAGTGGATGGATGAATACAGAAGCCTTTGTCCTATACCTTAAACATTTCGTGAAATTTGTTCGCCCAAACACAGAGACACCCGTATTGTTGATCGTTGACAATCACTCGTCTCACACTTCACTGGAAGCTATCAATTATTGTAGGGATAATGGAGTGGTTATGTTGGGACTACCCCCGCACAGTACCCACCGCCTACAACCGTTGGACGTTGGGTTTTTTGGACCTCTCAAGACTTTCTATAGCCAGACTTGTGATAACTATTTGGTAAACCACCCGGGAAAACAAATCACCGATAAAGAAGTTGGTAGGTTGTTCGGGCAAGCTTATCTAAGGGCTGCAACTGTGGGAACAGCTATAAAAAGTTTTTCCGCTTGCGGCATTGAGCCTTTTAATGCTGAAATCTTTGGAGATTCCGATTTTGCGCCTTCTATGGTGAGTGAGAGGCACGTAACTGCGGACAACGAGTTCTTAAGCAGTGACGATGAACCACTAGCAGTTCCTGGGTCTTCAGGCTCAAATAGAATTGATCAAGCCAAAACAAAAAACAATGAAATACAAGATGGTAAACCACCAGCGGTTTTCAACAAAACTGAGCCAGAAAAGCTTGTGAATTTAATTCTCCCAGGACCCTCAGGATTGAATAAAATGGATTCTGCAAAGAATAAAAACTATGAAACACCAGATGTTGAACCCCCATTGCTTTCCAAAAAAAATCAGCCGGCAAGGTCAATGAATTTGTCCCTTCCTGGACCTTCAGGCCTACAGCAAAAAAAATCTGCAAAAAACAATGAAGCACAAGCTCTTGGCACTATGAGTTCATCCAGCTCCAGTCAAACAATCTCTAATGTTGATAGTCGAGTTACGCTACTTGAAATGAGACCCTTTCCCAAATATACACGTCCCATAAAAACTACCAAAAGAATTAAACAAAGGGCTTCTGTTATCACCTCAACACCCAACAAAGAAGAACAGGAAAGAAAAAACAATGAAAAAAACTTAAAAGAAATTAAAAGAAGGAAGGTTGATTCTGTGAAAGTCAAGAGAAATGTATTTCAAGAAAATCGTGAAAAGCAGGTAGGAAAGAAGAAGAAAACTAATGACATTTTTTGTCCTGGCTGCCAGGAATCCTATATTGAGCCTCCTACAGAAGACTGGATTCAATGTAACACGTGCGAGAGTTGGTGGCACGAGTCGTGCACAGCCTACGAAAAAGATGGCACATATACCTGCGACATTTGTTTATAATCGTCATCGTGCCCCTATAGGCTCGTCATCTTACCCCGGTACTGGGGCAAGTTGACGAAAATGCACTTTTTTGTTTTTTTCTTTATATTTTTTCAAGAGTATACTTTTATTTTGTTTTTTATGTTTTATTATGTACCTGAATAAATGTACTAACAGATGAAATGGGATCTTTTTTTTTAAACCCGTTAGTTCATGTTTTGGAGCCTTTTGTATTTTACTTCGCCAACTTGCCCCGATCTCCCCTACCTGGTAGGGGAGAGGCGGGGAATCATACGCAGCGGGCAATCATACGCATCCACCAGTACGTTCAAGCAATCGTTAATTATCGTCCATAATCGTATAGACTAGTTTAAATAGCTCATAAGCATAATGGCGTCAAATCGGGTAATGATACGCGGTTGCGTACGATTACCCTCGATCTGCGTACCATTACCCGAATTTCCGAAATTTAATTATCATTTGTGTTAGATACATTACAATTTTAGTATTGTTATTTCAGATGCCTAGCAAGTACGTTAGAAAAACTAATACCGCTGGTTGGACCGAGGAAACATTGCAGAAAGCTCTTGAGGCAATAGATTCTGGCAGAAAGATTCGAGAAGTCTCCAGGTCATTTAACATTCACGAAGCAACATTGAGAGCTCGTAGACGAACTAACAACAGGTTTGGTCCAAGGTTAGGGAGACGTCCTACATTCTCAGCTGAGACTGAGACTCAAATGGCAAATCATGTTCTTAAATTAGCTAAATTGTTTCATTATTATTGAGTCTAATGGCATACGTCATGAATTTAATAAAAACCGACAGGAAGCAGGCAAGGATTGGTTGCAATCATTTCTTAAGAGAAACCCGCAAATCAGCCTACGAAAACCTGAAGGAACAAGTGTGAATAGAATAACTGCTTTCAATAAAGAATCTGTTAAACTTTTTTTTTCAAATCTGACAACTCTGTTAGAAAAATATAAATTTGCACCAAGCAGAATATTTAACGTTGACGAGACTGGAATCTCAACTGTACAGAAGCCTGCTAAGCAACTAGGACCCAAAGGCGTTAAACAATTCGGATCAAAAATTTCCTGGGAACGTGGAAAGAATGTCACTGCCATATGCGCAATGAGTGCTTCTGGGAGCTTTGTTCCACCGCTTCTTATATTTCCCAGAAAACGAATGTCGCCAACATTGGCGAAACATGGACCAGTTGACGGGATATATGCAGTTACCGATAATGGCTGGAGCAATGAGAAATGTTTCCTTCAGTGGTTAGAGCATTTTAAATTTCATGTAAATTCAAATCTAGAAAACCCTGTTTTGTTGTTGCTTGACAACCATTATAGCCATATATCTCTTCCGATTTATAATTATTGTAAAGGTAATGGAATCGTAATGTTATCAATACCACCACATACCTCCCATCGCTTGCAGCCTCTCGATACCTCATTTTTTGGACCATTTAAGGGCGCGTTTAATAAGGAATGTGATCTTTTTTTAAAAACTGGCAAGCAAGAAAAAATAACTTTTGCCGATTTGGCAGAAATATTTAATAATGCCTACGTTAAAATCGCGACTATGGAAAAGGCTATATCAGGTTTTAACTCAACTGGAATATATCCCTTTAATCCGGATAAATTTACAAAAGAGGATTTTGAAGCTGCTAGTCAATATCTACCTACTATATGTGATGATTTGGACTCTACAAATGAGGTTGATTCTGCGCCGTCAACTTCTAGTCTACTAACATCTGTCCCGTCAACTTCTGGCCTAGCAACATCTGTCTCCTCAACTTCTGGACTATCCACATCTGTCCCGTCAACTTCTGGCCTGTCAATTTCTCATCAGTCGCGTATTAAAGGAAAATCAAGGTTAAGTGTCTTACCAAAAGAAAAGGTTACCATTGCCGAGCTATCACCATTGCCGTCATATTCTGGGAAAGGAAAAACTAAAAAAAAGTAACAAGGGAAAGTCGGAGATCTTAACTGCCACCCCATTAAAATTGATTCTAGAAGAGAGAGTACAAAAAGTAAATAAAGCTAAATCTGCTCAACAAGGTAAGAGTAAAAATATTAATGAGAAAGCTGCGGTAAGCAAAAAACCAAAAAATAAAAGAGATATGGAATTAGATTCAGATAGTTCCGAAGGCGACGAAATTGATGAGAAGTGTCTACTTGATGATGAAGAACTGGACGACATGGTCAACATGAATGTGGATTCCAAAGAAAAGGAGCAATGCTTAGTGTGTGAAGATTTCGGAAAAGATGGAGAGATTTGGTACAGATGTGTTAGTTGCGGGCTGTGGGCACATGCTGAATGCAGTGGGTGGGACTCTGCCGTTGATTATAAATGTGACTTTTGTTTTAAAAAATCTTCTGTTAAGAGAGACCTTGTGGGAAAATTTAATTTTAGTTCTTAAGTTTTGTAATATGTTTTGTTTTCGTTTTTAACAATCTTTAAATATTATGTAAGTTTACGTTCTTAAAGTTTTGGATACTTTGTAGCGGTTTCTTAATAAAAAAAATCTTTTATAAACAAAGTTTTTTTTGCGTATCATTACCCGACCAAATGCGTACCTTTATCCGCACAAGCGGGTAATTATACGCACGGCACCAAACTTAACTAAACTTATTTTACTTATACACGTTTAATTTAAACTAAAATTTAAAATGGTTATGTAAGAGAAAACATATATGTGTGCAAATCTGTAATATGTTACAAATCTGTATTGCATAGTGATTAAAATGTCAGATTTATACCAAATATTGCTTAGGTGCTTACGATTCCCCTCTTCTCCTCTACGTAATGTTGGGACAAACGTCAGGTCCCTGGTACGTACAAGTACGTACAGGTACGTACTATGTACGTACTAGGGACGTACATTTTCCAACGCTATGTACGTCCCGGGTACGTCCCTGGGATGTGGTAAAGTACGTACTATGTACGTCGCATGTACGTACATGCCAGGTACATACATTTTATGTTTTGTTCCGGACCAAAACTGGATGTAAAATGATCGAAAGTACGTACAATGTACGTACTATGGACGTACATTTTTCAACGACGTCTACGACCTAGGAATTTAATTAGAAATAATTCAATGGAAGTCAGCTTAAAATATTTATTAATATAAAAACTCAGGTACAGGGTCATCCCTTATGTCTTGATACACCCGTGAGTCTGGCTTCGGTCCGGCAACTACACCCTTAGCGCACTCTGTTTTTTATTGGATGTTGATAGATATTTTATTTTTTTATTCTCGAACTGCTTCTAACTAAAAAATACAAAAAGAAAACTAAGTATTCAAATGTCTAATTCTGGCCTCTGATTTGAAAAAATTGAATGAGCCGATTCTCAATCATTCGAGGTTGTGACTGTGCTAGGTGAAATAGTCACATTATATTATTACACTTTAACTTACGTTGAAACAACGAGCAACGACAAAAGAAAACAAGGCGGAAGCCAAACAACCTACGGCCACCATGACACATGATACCCACTCACACAACACAATCGAAAACTGGATCGGAGTAGGTGCGCACTCAGTGTATTGTTGTTTTTACTTTTTACGTTGATTAATAAAAGATGGAACTACACTGAGTGCGCACGTGCGCTCTAGCTCTGCCAATCGAAAACGCCATTAGAAACCGCCCGACTTCCGATTCCGACAAGACTCGAATGTGAACGAATAACTTAGCGGGAAATTTAAACATAGGACTGCATAATTTTCCTGTTAGGCTTGATTGCATAATATATTGCATTTTTAACACATCAGATTTCTTCAAAGGCTGTCATGCATTATGGTCATTGGATAATTCAGGAAATCATTTTTTATAGCGGTCGGGTTAGATTTTTTAATAAAAGAAGTAGAGATAGGTTAGAGTGACTTGAATTAACATTAGCCTAGAAAAGATCCACTGATCCAGTCCATTCATTATTATTAGGTATATATCTGACCAAAATAATCCAGTCATGATATTAAAATTAAATAACATTTTGTAATGCATTCTCAAAAATTTTCAAGATACGTACGTAGTACGTACTCGCATGTACGTCCGTAGTGAAGTATTACAATGTACGTAAATAGTACGTACATGGGGCACGTACTATGTACGTACATAGTACGTCCCTAATTGGTTCAGGGACGTACCGACGTAAAATGGACATAAAATGTACGTCCCTATAGCCTAAATGAAAGAAAAAAAAATCTATATAACAAAAACACTTATAATACTAATTACCTTAAATTTAAACCATTAAAATTAACAAGGATTTTCTTACATATAATAATTATCATCAATATCAACAATGTACATCAATTTGATCTTCTAATACACTATACGTATAAATAATTCTTTAAGTTTATTCTAAAATGATAACAAGGACATATTGAATAGGTCAATAGTAGTATCTACATTATATTCATTAAAATTTTGCAACATGCGACATATTAGAGAATTATAGAACAAGTTATTTCTCCTATACGGAATCAAGAAATAATCCTGAGCCCTAAACCGTCTAACAGATACATAAAGTTTAATTTTCGATAGCAGGTCTGGAACATCTAAAAGGTTATTTAGAAGTTTAAACAATATCACAAGATCCAGCATTATTCTGCGTAGCTGCAAAGGTAATATTCTGAAATGCAATTGAATCTGCAAGTAATCATGATTAACGATGGGGATGTTAAATTTAAAAGACAGAAACTTTAAGAACTTTTTTTTACCCTCTCAATTCGCTCAACATGCACGTTATATCCCGGCGACTACACGGGAGCAGCAAATTGCAATTTATTGTATATACATGCGTAATATAAGGATAAAAGTGCTTTAGAGCTTCTAAAGTCCTTACAACTGCGCCTAATGAAGCCTAACATCTTAAACGCAGAGTTGATCATTTGATCAATATAAGGATTAAAAGACCACTTGCTATCCATTACAACCCCCAAGTCCCTGACCTTATCAACAACGTTAATATTTTTATTATTTAGAGAATAATTAAATTTGAACATGTGCTTGTTTTTTGTAAATGATATTTTATAACATTTCTCTACATTTAACTTTAAATTATTATTATTACAGAATTCACAAAATCTTACTAAATCTTCTTGAAAAAGTTCACAATCATTAATAGATTCAATAGTTTTAAAGATTTTAATATCATCAGCATAAATTAAAATTCTACAATGCAAAAAAACAGATCTAACACGATTAATAAAAATGTTGAAAAGCAGTGGATCCAGGTGGCTCCCCTATGGTACTCCTGAGGATAACAAAATGCATCAGATTTATGACCCAAAACTCATTAAAATGACTTAAATAAAAAAAAGCTTTCTGAGAGCTTGCAGCTCTATTGCTAACTTATCTTTAATGCCCGTTAATAAGAAATTTTTGAAAAGATCATCTTTTCATTACCACGGATACAATCCGATTTACAACACTCTTTCCTCCATCGTCTTATTCCAAAATGGCCTCGACTTTCCTCATCTGTAATTTCCGTAAATACCAATCCGCGTTGGTGATCTTCTAATGACAGGCCGTACACCCCACAACGACGACCTCACCGTATCTCCGTCCCATCTAACAAATTACCTTCGGCCGTATCACGTAAAAGAATTAAATACAGCGTTCAAGCGTCCTTTTACTTATCTCATTCGAGCTATAACTTTAATGTTCATCTGTTCCAATCGACCAAAGCAATACGCAACGTCGATTCTAGAGCACGAGATTACACTGACGAATTGTCCGACCATGTCACTCGGACAGAAAGCTCTTATTTTGTCATTACGGGAGTCTATGACGAGGTGGATAATGCGCGGTCTCGATGATTCCTTGCCGCGCCATTGGTCCGGGCAGATTGCTTTGCCATCTCTGGGCCAATTACCGCGCAAAACGTGGTATCGGGCTCTGGTTATTACCGACGAGGACTGCGCCGCGATTTCGTGAACGTATTATTTTGAGAATGGGTCCGATTCTCGGGCTAGAGAGCCGGATAAAATCGATCCACTTCGGTTGTTGAATCATTAGACTGAAAATGTCGATCGCGATTGCCGATACCGTTTGATGGCAGATAATAGGAAATATGCAAGTGGTAGAAAAGGGTGAATTATGAAGTAAAATAAAGTATCTTCTTGGTCTGACATTTTATTTAATGTTAAACTTTTACCTGATGTTTTGACTTGTAAGTATCAGAAGTCACTATCAAATAAAAACAAAACTATCATCACTATTCCTTCCCAAGTAAGAAACTGTTTCGCAATGTTTTAGCAGCAGAGATTTTGTTTCGATTTTGTATCTAAAAAATGCTACTTTGTGCATTTCAGAGAAAATTAAGAAAAACATGAAAATATGGTTGAATTTTTAAGCCATAAAAATCAAAACGCATTTCTATGGTAATATAACTTCGTTTTCATTCATTGATAGATTGTTATTAATAGAATTTTAATTAACGTAATGTTTTTTGTTACTTCAAACCGATCTATTCATTTCTAAAAATCCAATCATTTGGCTACAAAACTCCGTGTTGTATGTATAACCCTGGGTATGAATAACACCATAATTTTTCTAAAAAGATATGGTTTCATATAAATCTCCCAAAACACCATTTTAAGTTAATCTTAGATACAAAAAATATCTACGGCCATCAATGGTCATCTTCTGGTTGTTGAGACTGAAAAAAATCAGTCTAATTTAAAGGCAAAAAGACCATTTGCCATAATGGCTACCTGGCCCGATTCAGATGCGTTTCTCACCGGCATGCCATCATTTCGAAATGACATAGTCGCCGTTTCGATCCCACTAATGTCATTTAATTTGAGGCATATGTTTAAGCGGCAGTTTCACGTAACGTAATATGGGTCTGTGTCGTTCTGCGTCTCCCTTTTTTTTCGATTCGTTTTTCTTTTAAGAAATGAGATTTAATCGACCAATTTCATCGTCCCATCGGCCATTAGGACTATAGGA